TGCCATACATGTCAGATATACAAGCCCAGTCAACAGCAGGCTGCCGGTACGATGCTCACGCAGATTTCTATATGTGCCGATTTTGTGGGACCATTCCCGCGTTCAAGACACGGCAACACGATGGTCATAGTTTTCATCGACCGATTTTCGAAGTGGGTGGAGATTTTGGAAATCCGAAAAGCGACGACGGAAAACCTCATCCGAGCATTTACGGACCGAATCTTGGCCCGGTTTGGCGTCCCAAAGATATTAATAACGGACGATGGAGCGCAGTTCACCAGTGGACGGTTTAAGAAGTTCTTACAGGAGCCCGGCGTAAGGCATCAGCTAACTGCGCCGTACACACCGCAAGAGAACCCGACAGAGGGAGCAAACAGAAACGTTTAGATAATGATAGCGCAATTCCAGGTAAGGAGCAACGTGGTTGGGACGATTTGCTGCCAGAATTCACACTGGCATTAAATATGAGTGTGTGTGAATCTACGGGTTTCAGCCCGGCATACGTGGTCCAAGGCAGAGATCCAAGATTTCCGAACGTTCTCTTTGATGAACAAACATTCGGTACCGGCCAGAAGGTGGTGAATCCAAAGGAAAGGTCGGCAAAAATTAAGGAAATATTCGAAGCGGGCTTAATCAGCAACGAGCAGCCACCGAAAGGAAAGACGAGAAGAGCGCATGTATGCGAGCTAAACATTTACCATGGAGCCGAAACCACAAACAAATAATAACATTAAAAAGTGGAAATGTCCCGCAATTTTCGTCGAAAATTAAAGGAAAACGTCGGGATAACGTTTTTGGGGAAAAGCACAGTTCACCGCGCAATGGGAACTAATATAAATACCGGTCCGCGACTCGCAAGAAACAAAAACGCGAATTCCAGAGAAAATGGGTGCACGCGAAGAGCTACATCGCGGAAAATATCACAGATGGTTCCTTGCGAGTACGCCTCAAGCGATTGCCGCAGGAGGAAATTCAGCGCCATACGGAGATACAGACAGCGACGGTGCAGAACGACGTGGCGGCGACAGAGGAACCTCGTCAGCCACCCATGAAGCTCCGCATTTGCGACGGCGCAGAAAATGAACGCACGCTTGATGACCGCAGCGACGCTGGCTGCAAGGCGCAATAACTACATCGCCGGGTACATGGGAGAATCGATCCGGAGTTGACCCTTTGCAAGCGGCCCTAGTCGACGATACTGAAGCGCATTTGCAGCAGCCACAGCAGCGACGAGGTCGGCGGTCTTTTCGGCGCGACATCGAGGGCAACAACTACAGGGCGAGAATCTCGCGTACAGGCACGGTGACAGTGAGTCTCATTGCGGTAAGTGAGGGGAGAGTGTGAGGACCCAAATCCAGGGGCTTTGGAGTCCCCACAACGTTATTTATTTTTTTTATGAAATATTTTTATATGTATATAGAATAGGCATGTAATTAAACGGAATTATTTGAAGTATTTGAATCGAATTAGTTAAATTGAATTGTATTACATTTACTAGTATAAATTGAATTGTATTGAATTCACATATACTTGTTGAATTCTATAAACCATACACCACTAAATTCAGTATTCAGTTGTTGCTATTAACATTAGTAGTTAAGCATTGTTATTGTAGAATAACAGTCTGCCTGCGCGCAGAGTATAAAAGCGAGGAAATATTTTGTGCCGTCGCTAGTAGGCAGGCATACTTGTCGGCGGGCACACACTATTGGCAAACGAAGCGCACCTGGGAGTTGCCACCTCATTTGCGTTTAGTCTTATATTCGGCGGAGGTTACCACTCCCACCGACGGGTAAGGTTAGTGGAGGGATATTTACTTCCACTGCCTTTAAGCGTCCTGATGGGAATTCCTAATTAAGTGATTTAGTAATAAAAGAGTAAATGGATTGAAGGCGAAGATTTATTATTTTGAAGAAAGGAATAGGAATTTCCATTTCAGGAACCCTGGACGGACTTAGCTTACCCCGGCACCACAAAAGGTCGTCACAAAATCTGATGAAAATCTTTGAAATCAGGCAGTAACCACGCCCACCTCCCTATAACGGTAATTTACAGAAACGCGAAAAATTTGATATTTCAATACTTCAGGACGGCAATTTACTCCAACAATCTCTGAACAATTAATAACACTAAACGTCTAGGAATTGGGCGTGATACCGCCCACTTTATGACTATAAAGGTGTATCTGGGTAACCGCTTTATAGATTTTTTCCAAACTTGGTTAAATTTTTTCATTAAGTCTAACTCAGCATATTATCGAAAACGTTTGAAATCAGGAAAAGAAAGATGAAACGACGATATTTGGTAACTGCGCTTGATTCGTTCGCCCGAATCTATATTTCTTTACTTTTTTAAGTTAACATAAGTAAATTTGGCAAAAATCGATCAAATCATTTAAATGTAACTGTTTCAAATTCGTTATTTAAAGTTAAAATTCTTTATTGTAATAATTTGCGGTACAATCTTCACGTTAACTCATAGAGTATGTAATATGAAATGTCTGATGAGTTTACAAGTAAAGCAATGACTTGGAGTACACTAACAGGACTGATTTCTAAATTATAGAACAGTAAGAAAATACTGGAAAGAATATGAAAGTAGAATACAATAAATGATAGTAAAAGCTACATGAAGGGATTGGCAAGGTTGCATTTTGGACATTCCGCCCACCTCGTCGACCATACGACGAAATTGTTTCCTCAAACCGCCCACCGTCTGCTACGTTGAAGTGTTTGGAGCTCAGTCGTCCACGTTCATTTCGCTTCTTTCTTCCGCATCTATCGGTAGTACGGAGATTTTAGAAATACAGCTGCGTCCACGCCAGCGTGCGTATCAATTACACGACCTAACACCCAATGCTTTGGAGGCAGCCGATCATCACGAATCAACACGAGTTGTCCAACTTTCACATTCGGTTTGGAGTCGCGCCAATTGTTTCGAGCTTGTAATTGGTGCAAGTATTCACAGGACCATCTTCGCCAAAAGTCTTGCTGTACTTGCTTTAATAGCTTCCATCGCTTCAGCAGTCCAACCTTTTCATCGAGAATATTTGGTTACGCAATCGCCGTCAAGGCTCGACCAACCAAAAAATGGCCTGGGGTTAATGCAGTTACGTCCTGAGGGTCATCACTTATCGCCGCCAGTGGTCGTGAGTTCAAACACGCCTCCACTTGTTTTAAAATGGTATAAAATTCCTCGAAGGTTAGCGGAGTAAGATGTATGATGCGCTTGAGGTGATGCTTCATACTTTTAACCCCGGCCTTCCACAAGCCACCAAAGTTAGGTGCACCGGGGTATGAAATGCCAATTTATGCCGACTTTTGCACTGTAAGCGACCGCTCCCTGCAGCCGCAGTTTGAATGCACGTAACTCCTCCTTCATCAATGAATTTGCTCCCACAAATGTAGTTCCTTGATCACTGTAGATATCGGAACATAGTCCTCGTACCGACACAAATCGAGTCAACGCGGCCAAAAAAGTTTCTTTCGTCAGGTCACTAGCCAGTTCCAGATGGATTGCTCGCGTAGCAAAACAAACGGAAAGCGCCACATATCCTTTGTAGCAACGATGGCCTCGCCCTTTTGTGGTTTTTACGTTGAATGTCCCCGAAAAATCGACGCCAGTGTGCATAAAAGGAGAGGTGACATTGCACCGACCAAAAGGCAACTCACCCATCTGAGGGCTACATGTTTGTCGAAAGCACCGCATGCAATTGTTGATAATACGTCTTACGGACGTTCGGCCGTCAATTATCCAAAATTGTGTCCGAACATAGTGAAGTGTAGCCTGCGTACCACCATGCAACGTACGTTGATGAGCCTCTCCGATGATCAAAGTGGTCAAGTGATTATCCTTAGGTAGGATCGCCGGATATCGATCAGAAAATGGGATCCGCGCATTTGCGAGGCGTCCACCGACCCGTAGAATACCACTAGAATCGAGTACAGGGTGTAGCTTCCAGAGAGTACTCCTTCTGTTGACCGTGCTTTGTGTTGCCATAGTTACTACATCTCGCTTAAATACAATATTTTGAACAAATTTTAGCCAAAACATTGGAGCAGATACTCGCTCAGGCTATAAACCCATCGGTTCTGTTTCATGCTGCTTACCTCGCCCTGCTAATACAAATCGTTGACTCCAGGCCGTAACAGCAAGAAGTTTGTCCAACGATGAGTAATTTTCTAAAATAAACCAGTCAATTTGAACGGTTTGCGCAACGGAAATTTGCACGGACTTGTATTCCATGATTGTAACGGGATTCTTAAGCGCTGGTTGTGGCCAATTTGTTTCGGGACGTAACAGCCATTCTGGTCCACTCCACCATAGTGGGTGACGCATGAGTTGTTGTATAGTCGAACCCCGCGAGGCGCAGTCTGCTGGGTTATCCGACGTTCGTACATATCTCTAGTTGCTAACAGCAGTCAAGGCTTGAATTACTCGATTCGAGACAAATTCCTTCAGTGCCCCAGGATCGGACCGTATCCACCATATTGTTGTAGTGGAATCCGACCAAAAGTAAGTAGTTGCAGAGTCTAGATTTAGCGCAGTTTTTACCTTATTACATAATCGTGCAGCTAATACAGCAGCACAAAGCTCAAGCCGTGGAATCGTGACTTCTTTCAGGGGCGCAACCCTTGTTTTGGACATTAGCAACTGAATACTCACCGATCCTTTCGCCGCGAATGTATGAAATTCGTACGAATCCACTTCCTTTGTTATGTGGATCCAACGAGGAACTTGTATCTTAGCCACTAATTTAAGCTCGCTTCGAAACGCTAACCACGTCGCTTTTAGGTCGTCTGGTAGAGTCTCGTTCCACTGTAGTGCGCTGAGCCAGAGTTTTTGAATGAAGATTTTGCCTCGGATGATGATGGGGGCTAAAAATCCAAGTGGATCTAATAGCCTAGCAGCATCAGACAACAATTGTCGCTTAGTGAAAATAGTAACTGTATAATCAATCTTTACCGAATAAGTCAGACAATCGGATTTAGTGGCCCATACTAAGCCCAATGTGTTGGCATGGTCATTAACTTGAAATTCATGTGATGCTTTTTATTCAAGATAAGTTGGCTCGATCGTTTGGATAGTTTCAGTCGAATTAGAATTCCACTAACGTAACGTGAATCCTCCTGCTTGCAGTAACGTTTGGAGTTCATCCCGGCGCTTGTCAATACGTCATCAACGTAAAATTCATGAAGTAGTATCTTAGCGGCGTCCGGAAAATTGTCTTGCTCATCTGCCGCTAACGTGTGCAATACCTTGATCGCCAGATAAGGTGCGCAGTCAGTGCCATATGTAACTGTGTTTAAGCGATAATGTGACAGGTTCTCCTGACCAGCTGGACTCCACACAATACGTTGTAGATCTGCGCCTCGTTCATCTACCAAGATTTGGCGGTACATCTTGGTGATGTCCTCTGTTAATGCAACCCGATATCGCCACCAGTTCAGCACAACCGCGGTTAGGTCATTTTGTAATTTGGGACCAGGATATAAACAATCATTTAACGATTTACCTGCGCTGCATCTTTTTGACGCATTGAACACGACGCGCAATTTCGTTGTTGAGCTGGAAGCCTTCCAAACTCCATGATGCGGCAGATAACATACCGGTGATGTGCAACTGGTGTCATTATTGATGAGTTGCATATGTCGTTGCAATATATAATTATGTAGAAAATCTGTATACGTGGTTCGCATTGTTGCATTTCGAGATAGCCTCCTTTACAAGTGTTCGTGCAAAACTACCGCGTCACGTTGTGTAGGGATGAGTTGCTTCAAGTCTTCGTCACGTTTAACAGGCAGGCGAACAATGTAACGCCCGTCCTTCCTTCGGCGTATGGTGTTTTGACAATACTCTTCGACGTAGCGCTCGTCTTCAGTATAACAAGCCACTGTGTTCAGCTCTTCTATCTCCCAGAAGCGGCGGAGAGTCCGATCAATATCAATTTGAGCATTGTGACACTCAACCGTATGCTTAGGTGCGACTAGTGCATGTTCGTGGTAACCTCCAAACACAACCCAACCCAACTTAACAATACTTTGGCGTAAATTTCAGCATTAAGAATCATGTCGATGGATTGAGGAATGGTGAGCTTTAAATCTGCTAAATCCAGGTCGCTAAAATGTTGCAGCTCTCTGGCTCCGATTCTTAACGCAGGAGTTATGTTGCCTACCCGAGGTAGTACGAGTGCTGTGCATGGCATGTTGAAGTTATTTTTGAGAGAATGTAAGGTGAAACTTACCAGACCTTTTGCAGTGGCGACTCTGCTGCCGTTAGCTCCATTTATAGATACTTTAATATTCGATTTGGGCAAATTTAGTAAATTGACTGCATACTCACTTACAAATGCTGCCTCCGTTCCACTGTCGAGTAATGCCCGACGTACCGTTGTATGTCCACGTTCGGACCGCACTTCAACCTTTGTACCTAGTACTACCTGTGGAAGAGAGCATTTATGTTTTGTCTGAGTTACATGGTGTGCAGAGACAGGCCTTGTGTTTCCGGTAGCCGGGTTTAAAATAAAGTAATCATGCAACATGCTGTGATGCTTGGCGTTACAAGTGTAACAACGCCTCTCAGAAGGACAATGAGCTTGCTGATGGCCACCCCGTAGGCAGTTTATGCATAACTTTTGCTTCAGTATATGGTGATATCGCTCGTGAGGCAATTGTTTTCGCCAGTCCTCACAAAACAAGCACTACATATTCTTGTCATCACTTTTTTGGAAATGCTACCATTTGGTAAAGCATTCACCACTAGCAAAAGTATCGTAACGGCTTTCATTATTCCGTCCATGATATATTAAAGCCACGAAAAAATTCTCGCGGTCAATTTTATATATTTTTTTTTATTTTTAGGAAACGATACTTTAATTTCCCAATCAGTGTTGCCATTTTAGCCGTTCTCCGGCTAGATTTAGCCGGTTGCGATAGCAAACAGCTGGAGAAAATCCGATTTAGCCGGCAGCCGATTTGTTAGCCTTTTTGCAAAAAAAAGTTAGCCGTTTTTAGTCGATTTCGCTATTTGCCGTATTTTATTAAAATTTAAATATATGTACATATAGTTTCCATTTTAACATATTTTTTGGCGACCTAAAATCCATTAGAAACTGCTAGCCTTATGTCGGAGAAAAATTTCATGTCGGACTGTGTTAAGTATATAAAATTGAAAGAATTTTCTCCAATACGAAAAGTCTTAAAATACTGGGCCGATTTCAATAATTTTGATTTTATGTGAATATAGTACAGTAACCCAAATATGAACTGGGTCCGACATTTCAGCTTATTATTTTTTTATGAAAGTATAGCTGATTACTTACAAACACCATCTAAATCCAAATTTCATATTTTATTAAAAAATAATGAAAATTCTGCATTTCTTAATTACAATTTTAGTAGTGTTCCGCATTTTTCTCCATATAAAAAATGCTTAAAATTTTCACCATATTATACTAAATTGTAATGGACTACAAAACTGCGTACATACCATTTTGTAAATATACTGATTAAAAAGTTAAAAGTTGGTGAAATTTTTGCACAAAGTTTGAAATTGATACTTGAATGGTGTTTGTTGAGTAATCAACTATATTTTCATAAAAAAATAATAAACATTAAATAAACTAAATAAAAATAAAATCTCGCGTGCCATTTTCTTGCAACACTGCGTTTTTTCCAAAGAAGGACGTAGCGGGAACTTTCTTTATACAATTTTTGTTAAGAATGGCTTAAAGTTAAGTGCGAAGTTTTATTCGCAACACTTAGAAAATAACGAATGAGAATAAAAGAGCACGAATATCGATGTGAAGCAAAACTCTATGGGAAGACAATACCTGTGAATAGTTGTATCATGGTGCCATCATATTTTATTGTTGCTTATTATTGCTCTGAGACAGGCATGTAAGAGAGTGAGTAGGACATTAAAAACAGGAGTTTCGAATATATAGTCATCAAAATACAATTAAATAGTAGAATTGTTAAAAACTTAAAAAGCGACCGGCTTGTTCGATATAAATTAATCTGTCATATCCAGAGCTTCGCCCGAAAAAAAATTCACCCGAAAATTTGTCATCCGCCCATAGTAAATTGGAAACCAAAAGTGAAAAGTGTACCGGTTCCGGGAAAATAAAACTCATGATAAGGCTGAATGGCGTTTTCTTTTTTCGAAATAATGTTGGTCTGTTTTCTTCAGCCCTTTCACAGCTTCACGTGTTCATTTCTCAAAATATTGCCCTCCGACTAAGCAAAATACCTTACACTTCTTACCGGACGAAAAGTAACCTAGTGCAAATGTTACAATGTAAGGCAAAGTCTGTACAAATATATATTTTCAAAGCAATTTTTTCTGTTCGCAAAGCTCGAGATCGGCTATACCGACTCTTTTTAAATTTCGGTTATAGGTTCTGGATGAGCTTCTCATTATCTTAGGCAAAAACAAGTTTAAATACTTTCCTAAAAATGGAACTACAGGACGTTAAAAATCCTATGAATCTAACACACATGCCCACATAACAGCGCTGAGAGCGCTCTCTGCTGTTAATTCGTACGGAATACAGCGCAAAGCAAGGGTTATGTATACATATACATACGAGCTAATGCTAACGTTAATATTTGCGTTGCGGGTTAGGGAACGCAACTAATGTTGATTCTTATGTAAAAAAAAAACAAATATGTATGTACAGCTCATGGGGAAATAATGTAGGCAATTATGTATGTAGAGTCGTTTATGTTGCCACAAGGAGCACCTAACTTTGCTGTTAGCACTTACATTTGTATATGCATACTTAAATACATACATACATATGTATATAACAGGGTTCACAGGGATCTTTTGCGAATGCAAATATTGAAAATACCGAAAATTACAGTATTTTTTTACCAGTTTAACTTCGCCAAATATTTTTTATTCCGAAACAAAAGTATTTTCCGTATAATAAAAAACCGCTTATGGTATCAAATGAAAGAGGACTTAAATAGCTTTAAAACTGAAATGCCTAAACGAGGAAAGCCACATATTGAAAAATATTTCAATAAAAAATGTTAATTTATTACCATAGAACAAACCTTTGGTCAGGTGTGCATATGAATCTCTTTAGTATTAAGTTATGAAAAAAATATAAATAGAGATGGTAACCTTCGTCCTTTATTTCTGTTTAATAGCTATTTCAGTCCTCTTTCATATGATACCAAATTTGTTTAATTTGGATAAGCCGTTTGCTTATTATCCGGAAAGGACATTTATTTCGGAATAAAAAAAATCATATATGTAATACTTCTATATTGGCAGTAAGCTAGCTTCTCAATGTGTAAGCATTTCGAAATCAAATCGAGCCAGTCTAGTACCGTTTTAGTCAATGTATTGTGTACGTGAGTGCCGGTTTTGGGTGTGTGTTGTGTTTATTTATAAACGTACCCCTGCAAGAACAGTGACTATCATTTGACAAATCATTTGAGTAGCAAGACTGATAGAGATTTCTGTCACTGGCTACCTACAAGTTTCTATCAAACTAAACTAAAGGGCAGTGTGAAAAATCTGATGGAAACTTTTGTGGACGTGGATGGATGCTTCATCTCCTTCTAACATATACGTTCTGGCATATTGCTAGACTGCTTACTCCCCTTACTCGGCCTTCAAATTTTAATCATCAGTGATGTAAATCTTCCACAATTATGAGTGATCAACCTTGATAGAAATATAAGTCAGTAATGTGCAATCAAATTTGATGTAATAACCGAACAATCATGACACATCAAGTCTGTCATCTTTTCATATCATCGTTGATTACTCACAGTTGATGTAAAAATTCGTCTAGTCTGATCTCTCTCCCACGATATAGAAATCTATCATTAATGACACATGTAATACTTGTTTTTTCTTTTATTTTCATAAAATCTTATGAACTAATTATTGATGGTAAAAAATTAGAAGCTAAGTACATTACATCAAATTAGAAGCTAAATACATTACCCTAAGCATAGTACATTAAACATTAACAAAGGAAATGTGGCCAAAAATTAAGCAAAATAAGGCGTTTCTATTATTTTTGCCACCAACGTACATATGTACGTACTTAAATCTAATATCCTAATATTATACATTACATTGAGCTCAATTGCCTTCCTGATTTATTTTCGAACTCAACAGGACATTTCTTTTTAAATGCATCTAAGTGGATTGAAATAGATTATCAAAACATTTTTATTGTTAAAAGATATGTACATATGTATACGGTAGTGGCCACATAATTAGGGATAATATTTATTTAACGTTTTGACCATTTATTTAAGAACTCGCGTCGATTTTTGAGAATTTTTGACAAAGTATGTTAAAAAGGTTTATATATAGGTATATAGTTATAAATAAAT